AAAATAAGCACAGTTGCTAAATCAATTACTAATTAAAAACAAGATATAGGTTTGGAATTGTCTTCAAGATAAAACATAACACAAAATGTTAAGTGATAGTGTGGCAGAACGCACCTCTGTCAGAGTCTGACCTCTCAGAGGACATAGTGGAGCCCTGACTATTGTTCCGCATCCGCTCAGTTCTCTGAAGCTGCTCCAGTCGAATCCTCAGCTCCCTCTGCTCCCAGCGCAGACGGCCCTTCAACTGCTCTGCACGCTCATCCTGCTCCTGCAACTTCTGCAAAAGCCATATCCAGATGAATACAAATGAAGAATATGTATAGGACATATTCCATTAGTCTGGTGTGGAAATAGTGAAGTCTCCACTTTATATTTACCCTTATATGGAGCTGGGCCCGCCTCAGTAGGTTTAGGGTTGTATTCCTCATCGAGTCAGTGGACAAGGGAACTTGCTTTTTTAGCTGCTCTAAGAAATATCTCAGCTGAGCCCGTCTACAAGAGGAAATAAAACATGTATTTATTTTTGCAAGCCTTCTCTTAAAATTCCAAAATAAAAAGTTGTAACTGTAATTAATACCTGTTCTTTTCTAGCTCATTGTGGACAGACCTGTAGATATAATAAGACATTGTTAATACAGGTGAGACTGATGCTTTCAGTGAAACTTTAAGACCGCACCCTCCAGGCCGTAGCCAAGCTAACATATAATAAACACACCTATTGCCACCAGCAGCTATCTTTTTGCTCTTCTGTTTGCTTCTCTTATCAGAGAGACCGGGGCTGACAGGCAGGACTGAAGCATACCCATGTTCTGCCTCTGCAGGAAAGAACAATAGCCAGGATATTATTGATGTGTTACACAGTAATAGCAGCTTTTTTATTATGTAATGACGTGCAGAATACAAAAGAAATACTTTTGTTTTTCAATTTATAAATCGAAACCTTAGGCATGACGTTTAGCTGTAAGAAAACGTCACTCCAAACAACAGTCGATCAGCTGAGTGTTTTGTTGGCGCCATCTCAAAACAATCCATTTAGAGTGTAAAATGTTTTCTAGGAGCCGAGAATGAAATGTTAAACAGGCAAACTACTGCAAAGAAAAGAAAAGCTAAACTGTGCAGTCTGTAGGCGCGACGTACTCGCTCAGATTCACAAGTGCCGCTCACTTCGTTTTCAAATTGTGTCAGATTGGCGCCTTTGAGTACAATGATGCGGCCGATATGTAGGTCACTGAGTCAAATCGGGAAAATCGCATATAAAATACTTGATATAAGATGTTTATGTAAAGCAATGTACATGTGAATCAATAGTGCAAATATTCCGTAAATAATACGTCTATTACATGTCTTTCATTGTGCATTTTGTTGCTTAACAATAACCAACTTCCTCTCCTAATAGTCTGACCATTTCCATAAACACTCACCCCTCTCTCTTCTCTCCAAAAACTCTGCAGCCCGGAGAAGCACCTGGATGTTGCAAACGTTCCCTTCCATGTTTATTTGATAAAATAAAGCTAGAAGCAGCTAGATCAACAACCCTCTGTTGTGTCAATAGCCTTAAGTAGATCGAGCCTTCTCTCTCTCTAGTCTGTGCAAGCCTACGTCTTCGGTGCTCTGAACCCCAACACTGATGATGCGTTCAAGTGCACCACAAACAACTGCTATACATTTTGTAAAGATAAGAAACAATGTTTGTGTTTTTGATTCATCTTTTACTAAAAGTATACATTTGTATTGTTGCACCGTTTATTTATTTATTTTTTGTTTGCCATTATTTTTAATAATAAGAAAAATGCTATATACCACACAAATTTCCTGCAGCCTCTGTCACTGAACAAGCACTGTACATCTAAAAGTGCAATATTGGTATACTATACAAAAAATACAACTTAATTATTTTGGACATTATTTTTATGAACTGTTACGAAAACAATGTTGGCAGATTTGCACGTTATTGTTGTCAGAACATGCATCAAAACGTTGTTTTGTTTATAAGAAAAGTCGAAAAAAGTTCACTTGTCCAGGAGTACAGACTACTTCCACGACTACTAGATTTCCATTTCTAATCATTCAAAAATGATTTCCTAAGTCATCCGTGAAAGCATCTGATGTACGTCGTTGCCTCACCCTCTCAGCGCTCCTCCCACCACAGAGCCTTAAATTTAGAAGAATAATATGTGGGAAAAGTGCCCATAATAATTGTATGTTTTCTTCAACTGATGAATTTTATAAACTGTTTATGAAGCGAAGGCACACTTCAGTTCAGCTGAATATAATTTGACTTTGTGTTGAGGAAAAATATAATGCTTTTTTTTTTCAAACATTATCTTGTTAACATTAAACAAACTCAGAACCTATTCACATAAAATCTTGTTTCTATTTGCTCTTCTTGATTTGCGCTTTGAAAGCCGATTCTAATATTGCCCTAACTAAACATGGCGCTATGGTGCCTCGTTGCCCTTGAGCTGCTGCAGTGTTGCAGTGCATAGAGGAGTGAAGCCGCTTTGCCAGTACTATCTTTAACCTATGAACTCCTGAACGTGCCAGTCCTCCGCCATATTGACTGTTGTCTTGACTGGAGGAGATAGAGAACATTTTGAGGTCCGAGAAGAAACGAAAGTGTGTTTTTAAAATAATTTAAACTGGTGCAAACTTCGCTAAAGCCTTTTCTAAACAACACCGTAATGGCAAGGAAGAAAAGCAAGCAGCAGGGGGTTACTCAGAAGGAGATCGTCCCTGGAAAGCAGACCGTATCGAAGAGCACAGTCTCTCCCGGCGATGCAGCTGGCGGTGGCGGTGGAGATGCAGGGCTGGATAGGCTGGCTACTACCAGGGCGAACCAGGTAGCTAGCAGCGAGCGAACCGCACCGTAGACGAGCTGGCTTATCACTAGCATATTGCTAACCAAACACCACTAACATTTCAATATTTCGCGAATAAAAAGCTGATTCGGTACTGTACATCAATAAAGGTTGTCTGAAAGATATTAGAGCATTACGGCTCGCAATAACATATAGATTTTAAGTATTTTTGTTTCACTATCAATCAAATGATGCCTATAACTTAGCAGACACAATTTCTGTTGGTAGATCTATGGCACAAAAGCTAGCATCACTGCCTTTTTCATCGAGACAGTAACATTGTATTTACCTGCACAAAGTGTCGTGTTTACGTTTAGTTAGCTACATTTAGCACTGGGTTTATATTCTGGTAGGTTTAGCGATCGCGCTAGCCGGGGATATCCCTTACCACTGACTGGCGTGTAGTAAACGTGCTTATTGCTTATTTCACTCAAGTTGGACTGTACAGTAAATTAATACTGCGATCTATTCCGACTCGATTACAGTTGTAACCTATTGTTAAAAAGTAAATTTCACCTTGTTGGGTTTACATATACAGTCAGCGGGTTTACGTTACAACGGATGCTGTCGTTAGTGTTATTGTATAGTAGCTATCCCATTATTACCTAGCTTAGCATGGAAAACGGTTGAAGCATACGATCGTTCAACCGTCAGTCCTGAATTGCATACATTTCAAGTGCAGCTAAGATTACTGTGCAAACATCCTACTAAGGATCATGAAGTGTAGCTAACATTACTGTTAATGTTAGGTGAAAGTTTGAAGAGCAATCTGAACTTAAGTCACTTTGGTAACCAGCTAACGTGAGGCTTGTGTTCTGACGTACAACATCACTTAGGTTTATATATTACATCTGAGAAATTAAGGCAATGTCTTGGTTCAATGTATTGCTTTTGTGTAGTGCTTTTGCCTTAAATGAAAATGTCACAGATGAACTGCAGAAACTTAATTAGACCACTTAAAAATCAATATGCAGCAATCATTTTTAGGTTTTCTTTATTTTTTACTTTTGTAATGTTCTAACTGCAATATGTCATCCTCATTTTATATGTGATAAAAGCATGTAGTGCTGAAACGCTCAGTCTTTGCAGATAAAATCTGTGAAATACAGTATGTGTTTAAAGATATGTTCTTAAGCATTGCTATGCTTTTCAGCTGCTCCGTATCATTGCCACTTGCAGATTGGATTGTTGTAAAAGTATATCAGTTTTTCATGTAGTTTTGTATGTATTTTTTTTTCCTTTGACCAGCCGATGCATACCTGTTGCCTTCTGTGTCACCGGGAGTTCAAAGATTGGGGTGCAGCCTCTGTTAACGGACTTCCTGGGGGTCATGGGACAAAGCTGGCTGATGCTGTTCCTGCCCTCTCCCAGGCGTTATTACGCGAAGCGTCAGGGCGAAAGCTTGCTGATACCGTGCCCTCGCTGTCTCAGTCCCTGTTGGGAGAGGTGCCTCTGTGGATCTGTCAGAGTTGCTGCAAAAGTGTTGAAGAGGAAGAGAGGCGGAGCACTCAGGAGCAGCCTGCATCTGTAAATAAACAAAATGCTTGTTATTTAAAGGTACACTTTGTAATTTTCTGGTAGGAGATGTTAAGGCTCTGCCTGGAGTTTCCCACAGAATTACATTAAACTTTATATCTGGCATTTTTTCAGCAGCATTTAATTGACTGCAATTAATTGATGTTTTTATTGCTCAAACTTGCCTTGAACAATATGCAATCTGCTGTGAGTGTTAAGGGTTGCCTCTACACTGGTCTGACTTGTAACCTGTTCCTGTGACACTAACTGGTTGTCTCCAGGGAGATGGATACTTTTAATACCACACTCAAGAAGATTCAAGGCAGAGCAATATCATTTCCATTGAGAAAAGTTACATAGTGTACCTTTTAACACTTTGTATGATCTTTTTAATGATTTAATGGTTATGTTTGTGTGAACAGGTGCCATTGTCTCACTCGTCTTCATGCAAGTCCCAGAGCTGTGGAAACGGTTACACAGAGCAAAGTACGGTGGATTGGGACCCCAGTTCCTTTCTGTCAGCCCATAAACTGTCAGGACTTTGGAACTCTACTCATAGCAATGGAGGGGATCTTTGCAACCACAACAATTCTCAACACTCCCAACAAGGTTTGTGGTAGAACTGTATAATGGGTGATGGGTTATTGTTGAAAATTGGTTAAGATTAATTGACCACTAAGTCATTTATGTAGCTATTAATTGGGTACGGTGTGATGTAAAGCCTTTGGGAAAAAAAAAAAAAAAAAACAAATATAGAGATTTTATAAGTGCATAAATCATGACTTTTATTTTTGAAATTCAATTATTATTCAATTGCTAATTTTAATTTAGTTGATAATTTATGTATTTGGTTTACAATTTTGTCCTGTCAGGACCAGGAGTAACAACGGGATCTTCATGTCATGAAAAAAGAGGTTTACATGAAGCACCTGGGAAATCCGCTAAAGTGTCAGGGACCAAAGTTTGCCCCTACAGTCATCCTTCGTCCCAGAATTCCAGTGGGTCCTCTGCTGGGAACTCTTTGTCTACCTCAGCAGACCATTGTAAAACCACTCCCAAGCACTTCAAGACCATGTGCCGACGACCAACCCCACCAGGTAAGCATGAAAATGCTTACCAAGTTAGCCCTTTACAAACATGCACGATCAGCCTCATCAAATATGGAAGTTATTTGTACACAGTTGCACCCACTTTTCCCACCCAGAGGTAATTCTTCCAAGGCCCTAGGCTGAGTGCGGGTGGGTTGGATGTTTTCCCACAGGGAGAGTGAGTCCATGTGCCTCCTCAGATGCCAGTGGAGTGCACTGTTTCATGCTATCATCATGTGCTTTTGTTTCACTTTTCCTTATTTAAGGCTTTAGATTCTGGATACGTGGTGAAAATCTCAGCATTATATTGCTGCAAAGAATTTGTTAGTCACTGTACAGCAGACTATTGAATACATGTGCTGCACCCTGAGATGGCTTTTGAGAATTAAGTGTTATATATACAATATGTGTATACTGATTATTACTCCAGTGTTTTGTCTGTTAGTTACTCTCATTTTGGCTGTTTTTTTTTTTTTCTCTAGGTGAAGCCTTCCACTCCAGTGACCACCACCAACATACAGACTTGTCAGTTCCTCCTAATAGTCCTACAGGCTTGTCATCGCAGCACTCGTCACTTCTGGCTTCAAAGCAGACGTCTGGGCAACATGGCCATGTAACCTCCACCTCTGGCACTGGTGTAGGAACGCATGCACCGTTCTCACCATTAGTACCAAATCTTCATGGGCCTCCAGCAAAACTTAATTCACCTAGTCCAGATAGCCCAACAGCAGTTCATAAACCAAGCCCATGCAAGAACTCCCACATTCCTGCTATGAACACACAACATGGCAAACATGGGTCAGCGATGCTAGGTTGTACTCATGCTTGTAATGGACATAGTGGGGGAACAGTAGCTGCATCTAATGTGGGCCATCTAACAGCTGGGCCATGCAGGTTAGTAAATCAACAATGAATGAAGGACAAATGTAACTTGTGTATCAACCATTAATAAAATTGTTCTGCCTTTTCTCAGGGACCAGGCATGTAAGGGGCATAAATTGACTAATGGGACATTGTGTTATCCATCATCTGAATTGGAGGAGGGGGAGGATGAGGACAGCAGCTCTGAGAGGAGCTCTTGTGCATCTTCTTCCACTAACCAGAAAGATGGAAAGTACTGTGATTGCTGCTACTGCGAGTTTTTCGGACACAATGCGGTACTAATAACATCCTATTGGTATTATCTCATATTTATAAATGTCCTGTTGAGTGATTTGAGTTGTCCATATATTTCTTTTTCTAAA